AGGAAGCATGCAGTGGTTCCAGCAGCAGTTCCTCCAGCTCTGACACAAACTTTATGATTTGGGAAAAGTTACCTCACCTTTTGGACCTCTGTTTACCCTCTGGTATTTTAGTTAAAAGACCTCAAAAGAACACCAGCTAAATTCAAAGAGAAAAGGACAGAAAGTAAAAAAGATGAGGAGAATAACCAAAACAGCTGTTATGACATTATAGATTAAAAATATGAGTAAAGTATTCAAGTTTGACAAATACCGAGAAAGAAGCAAAGGAGAAACATGTGGCCACAACTTTTCCTACTGCGGATTTCCAGGGCACCTATCCCAGAAAACCAAAGTAAATGGACATTAAATGAAAGGGTGGAAGTGAGAAAAATATTCTCACCATGCACCAGAAGCTGCCCTAGCATGGACACAAACCCCATGTCCTTCCTACTCGTCTTGCACCCCCAACTGATACAGTCCCCATATACAGTCTTTGAGAAAAGAGTCCCTGCTCCCCCTAAAGGCCAGGTCTTCCCCTAAAGCTCTCCACCACAACCCCCTCCTCTTGCCCAGCATCACTGACTTGCCATCTTTCCTGCACCCAGTCCTGCCAGATGGTTCAGTATTTCAGGCCTATAGGACAAGGGTCTGTCACAACCCTCAACTCTACTGTTGTAGGGTTCAAATAGCATGCATAATTAATACATCAATCGGGGGTATGGGTGACCCAGTCAATCTTCATTTATGAAACATGGCAGTTGGACATGGTCTGCAAGCTGTAGTTTGCCAACCCACTCCAAGATCTCCAACTTAAAACAAACACACAAATCCCCCTTCCTCGGATGCCATTGTCCCTCCCAGCTACTGCCTCCACAAAGAGACACCGTCTGCTTCCTGACCTCACCCTACCAACACCCAGCACCTCCAGGTAGCTCTGAAGCCCACCACTCCCCAGAGGCCATTGGTGGCCACACTCAATGTCCACATGTGATCTAACATCTGCAATGCACCACTCCACCTCTCCCCCATCTCCAGGGAGTTCCCTGCACCAAGGCTTTCTGGAATCACACTCTTCTAGTCTCAGGCATGCCAAATTGTGTATGTTTTCATTGTCCTTTGCTGGGTCTTCCACTTTTATCTAATAAACCATGGCCTTGTCCTAGTATGAAATGCTCTCTCCTCACAAGTCAAAATAATACCAATGCATTCAATGTTACTTCAAGGTTGATTCCCATCCAAACATAACTAACTATCAAGCCCAGGAACTCTAGAAGCTTCAACTCAGACATCTGGTGGCCTACTAGGCATCTCCACACTGTACCTAACAGGCATCTCCAATCAGACTAGTCTCATCCTTAGCTAGTCATTTGGTCACCTGTTTGGTACCTCCCACTTGAGTAGCCCACTGTGTTCTCTTCTCAACAAAGGCTCCATTGGACCCAAGAATTTTCCAGGAGTTTGCACTTCCTCATCTTCCTAAACAATACATCAATAAGTCCCGACACCTCTCCACTGCCCTTCATCTCCACACCCACACTACTCTGCAAGGCAGGGTCATCACTCACCTGTAAAGTCTTCCACTAGCCTTCTCACTTTATTCTACTCCTACCTCCTATTTTCTATCCAGTAACCTATTAGGTAGACATAAAACAGAATTATAAAATGTTACTCTTCTACCAAAACCATACCCAACATAGTGATGAGGGTGAAGCACTTGCCTAGCATGTGGGAGGCCCCAAACTCTACAGAATATGACAAAACAAAAACCAGCAACAACAAAAAGCATCCTTCCCAGTGTACTTTTAGTCAAGCCCAACTCCTCATCACAGCCTAGCGGGTTCTTCAGCCTCAAACTGCCCTCTTTCTCCATTCCTGCCTCATTGGTCCCCAACTCTGAACAGCACTTCCCACTTCAGACCTAAAAGGCACCTTCATCCATCCTAATGGACCATCACCAACCAGTACTCTTAGACTCCAGAGAACTGGTTCAATTGCTTATAAGTCTGTCAATCAGTCTAAATACAAGAAAAGGTGAACATCACAGGAGTCAGCCTTGTGTACAACTCCTACATGCCATGGACACCCAATGCATATATGCTGAGTGTCCCACATAACCCTATATAGACTGTCACCATATTTGGACTGTGTCACACCTGACTTTCCAGTGATGCTCCTTTCCTGGAGCCCTTGTTTGGTGCCTGCCTGCTGCAAGTAAGAATCTGCCTGTACCAGTGCAGATATGAACCTAGAGACCTGCGCTGACCCTGCAAATACAGAGCAGAATTGCCTCGGGAAGTCATGGCATGAAGCCCTTGGGTGTCTGAAGCTAATCTACACAAGTGACACTCTTGGGGAATAGGTCCACAGTCACATGACCATGACTCCCAAGCACTGAGATTGGTATAATGGGTCTCTTTCAGCACTTCCATCACACATGTGTCTCTGAGTGAGACTCAATAGCAAGTAAACACCCTATTTTTAGTTAATTTCCAAAGTAACAGAACAAGCAACATTTTACACACCTTCCACTACCTCTGGATTACAAGGCTGAGAGGGAAAATAGTGAAGCAATGTGTACATGGCGAGGGTGGCACAGCTGGCTTTTTCCATTACCTGCCCTCCCACTCTGCAGCAGACCCTCTTTCCACTCCCTCAGAAGTTCCCATCCCCACCCTGAGAGGCTCAGTCATGCTGTCTTGGGATGTTTCATCCCAACACCTTATTCACAGGACATGCACTACTAGTTTTTCAGAGAGAACTAAGACTATACACTGTTTCCACTGCATTTCCTCCAAAGTGCTAACTTGAATCTCCTTCCTGTTGTTTTCTTTCAGGGTGGCCCTGCTGAAGAGGCTCAGGTTCTAGATGTTTGGGCAGGGCCCATGAATGTGCACCACTAGCCAGTTCCCAGCTTCAGAGGGGAGGATAGGGTGGGAGCTTCAGGGATATACATCTGTTTTTCAGTCCTCTCTCCAGGCTCCACATGTACAAGAGCGCTGACACTAACACCAGAGGGCCACCGAGTGGACGAAAGGAAACACAGCACCAAAAATCTGGCCCAAGAGCTCAGTGTCCCAGTTATAGATTTAGGGACTCAGTTGCTCCCAGAGGTATCGGGGAACATATGAACTTGCTATCTCTGACCTCTTTCTCTAAAAACTTGGTCTCAGACAGCTACATGTAAGAATTTCTCCTGAGTAATATTATCCGAATTTCATACTGTGTTGGGAAAACAAAGTTTTATCTCTACTCTCATACCACAATCAGCGCAGGTGACTTTTGCGATCCCAAAAGGCATGGAGATTTCTCCCCACTAGTAAGTAAGCAATTCTGCAGCAGTGGACAACAGCTGAATGTCCTCTAATTCAATTCAACTGTGACACTGTCTGCTGAGAGAAAGCATGAGCCCCCAAAGGTTAAACACTTAGTCCCAAAGACAGTCTTCACTTCTGATGCCAATCTCAAGCCCAGATTGTTTTATCTCTGTTTCTAACCCACCAGCTATATAAATAGGGGTTTCTATGACCCCCTCCTTTGGTCAGGGTAATTTTCTTGAGTGGCTCACAGAACTCAGGGAAACAGTAACTTATATTTACTTATTTATCATAAAATTATTACAAAAGATGCAGATGAAGAGATGCATGTGGCCAGGTATGGAAAGATAGGGCCGAGACTTCCATTCCCTCCCTGGGCATCACTCTCCAATAATCTCCATGTGTTCAGTTACCTGAAAATGTCTTTTGGGGGTTTCATGGAAGCTTCATTTCATAGACATGACTGATTAAATCACTGGTCAGTGGTGATCAACTCAAACTTAGGATCCTGTACCTTACCTGGAGGCTGAGGGATGGAACTTTCAGAGACCAGTCCTACCTTGAAGCTACCTAGTGACTTCAGGTCAGATATTCCAAAAATTTTAGGAATTTTATGCCAGGAAACAAGAGAGAGATCAAATATATATTTCACGACATTACAGAGTGCTTATGTAAGAAAGGAGGCAAGAAGAGACACTTCAGGGAAGGAAGGGGGAACACACGAGTAAACGTATGCATGCGTGAAAAATGGGCTCTATATTAGAAAATTTAAAAATAGTCACCTGTGGATGGGATTACGGGGGGTTTTGTTGTTGTTGCTGTTTGTTTTTGAAACAGGGTCTTGCGATGCAGCCCAGGCTGACCATGAACTCACCATCCTCCTGACTCAGCTTTCCCAGTGAAGGGATTATAGATGTGTGCCACCATGCCTATCATGGGTGAATTTCTATTTTAACTTGCCTGTACAGTTTTATTTCCTACCACGACCTAGTCCACAATAAAGAATTCCACATCTTGACTACAGGAGTCACTAAGAGGCCCACTAGGAAGGTACCACAACATAAGAGTTATCAAACTCTTCAAACCTCCCCAAGAACTCTCCACCTCCTGTCCCTGACCCTTTTCTCTTCCCAATTCACACCCCACTTCTCCAGGACCTCTGCCTCTTCCAAAACTCACTTTCTTCCTCGTTCTCCCTTTTCTGATCCACCCTGTTCTATTTTTTTGGACAAACATCATAATCCTTGGAAAGCCTCCCCTCGCCCCAACTATCCCTCCGAGTCTCAGAGCCCCCAACATTCCCCTCCAGACCACGACATCCCGTACTCCCTACCATCCGCTCCTCACACCCCACCCCCCCCCATCCCGTAGAGTCTTCCATCCTTTAGACCCATCCCCTCAGGACTCCAGCATCCTCAAGACCCCTTTGGGGTTTGGATTAGAGGAAGACTCTTGCTTATCACCGCGTCAGCCATGGTGGGCGGGCTGTTTCGACGCAAGGCACATAGGGTTCGAGCACTGCCCAGCGGCAGGCCAGCACCGCCGCTCACCTGAGGCAGGAGGTGAGCCGACTGAGAGCACTAGACAGCGCCGCTTGACGAGACCCCAGACGCCACCCACAGCCAGTCGGTCGGCTGCTCATGCGCCTGCGCAGAAAGACGGAAACGTATAGAGCGCAAGCGCGCCCGCCCAGCGCTCCGCGATTAGAATTCCGGTCGTAAAGCGGCCGGCACGGTGATGTTTCTTGTTCCGAGTTTCTGTATTGCCATTTCTCCTCCGGAGGAGTTTTGGCAATTTCTCTGCCTCCGCTCCTCACCTTGAGTGAGGAGCGGGACCGGACTCTGCGGGATCCCCTATCCCGAGCCCGGTCAATGGACCGGGAGACACGCGCCTTCGCCGAACGGCACTTCCGGGACCTCGGAGGCCGAGTCCATGGCGGCTGTGGGCTGGCGCCGAGTGGGGTAGCCTTCGTCCAGTTTCCTGACGGCTTCTCCTACGCCGACTTTGTGAAGGGATTTTTGCTGCCCAATCTGCCTTGCGTGTTCTCCAGCGCCTTCACCGAGGGCTGGGGCAGCCGAAGGCGTTGGGTGACGCCAGCGGGGAAGCCAGACTTCGAGTATCTGCTGAAGAAGTATGGTGAGGAGGGACGCCGACGCCCGAACAGCCAGGGAGGAGTAGACCCCCAGGCACAGGATGTATTCCGTACCCCCAGGACAGGCAGGTGGGGTACTGCGGAGTCAAGACCTCTCGCCCGGTGTTAGACAGAAAGGGCATAGGGATTGCCCAAACCCTAGGACAGGTAGAAAGGGCCAGGACGGAGCTCAGACCTCCAGGGACAGCCAGGACAGAGCAGAGCACAGATACAAATGCAGACCACTGGAACACGGTTGGACCGCGGAAGGGTGTTATGGGAGGTGAGGAGGCCAAGAGTGTTTAATCTGCAGAATTCGCCTGCAGCTGCTTTGGAGGGTGGAGGTAGCCCAGAAGGGTAGGATACACGGAGGACTCTCAGACAAGTCAATGTCAACCCTCTTGCTTCAGGAGACGTGGTTGTACCAGTTGCCAACTGTGAGGTCCAGGAATATAACTCGAACCCCAAGGAGCTCATGCCCTTCCGCGACTACGTCAGCTACTGGAAAGAATACATCCGGGGGGGCTGCTCCTCACCGCGGGGCTGCCTCTATCTCAAGGACTGGCACCTATGCAGGTAATGGGAAGGCGGCCGAGAGGCTTTTCTCACAGGGCCTGCTGTGTTTCGAAGTGCTTGTTGTCCTGCAGAGAGTTTCAGTCTGTGTCTCCAGCATAGCAGTACTGTCATTCCTAGGAATGACCATGCCTGCGGGGTGTAAGCAGCCATGAGGAACATGGGCCTTGTATAGGTGCAGGTGGGCTGTGGGTCCCCGCCTCCACTTCTGGATCATGTTTGTCCAGGTTCTTCTCAGATCTTTTGGACCAGTCCCTTCCCCACCCCACTAAGGAGGCCAGGCCTGTTCCCTCCTTCCTTGGTTGTGCTGGGGCCTTCTGTCCTCTTGATGGACTCTTCAAAGCAGCAAATGGCCTTTCTAGCACTGCTGAGGCCCGTCCCATTTTGAAAATCTCCTTAGGAGGCAATCCCTTGTTGGCCTCCATCTGCCACATGCTGACCCAGTTTATGATGGCTTGATTTTGTGATGGTGCAAAAGTGCTATGCATTCGGTCAAAACCATACTTAAAATTTAGAATTTTGCTCTCTTCCTGGGTTAGCCACATGCAGTCCAATACTTGCAATGCTGGGCAGTTAGCAGTTCCCATCTGCCCCATGGTCCTCACAGGAAATAACCATCCTTCTGTTGTGTGCTGTGTTGCTAAGCTATGATGTCCAGTTAGTTAGGTGTATTGCTTCTTTTTTCTGTTTGGTATTAGGTATTGAATCCAGGTCCTCTTGCACCCCAAATACACACTATTAATGCATTTTTAATTTGTGGTCTTTTCAACATGGATGTATCAGAATATAAGCTCATCATCTGTACTTCATCACAGGAGCTTCACCCGCACCCAAGATCCAATCCACACAGTGCCCACCCTGGGAAGCACATCCATTCCTCTCTAACGTGGGCCTGGGATTGTGTCCTCCCCCTGCCCCACAACACACAAACCCGGTGTGCCTTTCATCAGACCATGTGCCCACAACCCCAGCAGCAGGCACAGCATAGGGCTCAGGTAATGTGGAGGGACCAACGAACAGTTGAATTCCTATATCCCTTAGGTCCAAACTAAAGCTCAGAGAGGTGGAGTGAGATAGAATTTAGGCCCCTGCAATTCTCACAGCTGACCCAGAGTCATGAGAAGTGCCAGCCCCTGCTTGTTTGGCACACAGGGCTGACCCAGGTGGGTGCTGGGTGAAGCATGGCCAGACATTGACACTGGGCATTGCCTAATCCAGCAACAAAGACAGTCATGCACTGTGGTTTGGGGTTTTAGGTGAACAATTAATGTCTTTTTTTGGTATGAGTTTTAACCAAATATTGCATGGGGCATACTTATGCTAGAAAATTGTTTATTGTTTATTTAAAATTCAATTTTTGACTGTGTTAAAAAAAATTTTAGGCAGGCATAAAAAATAAAAAGGACAGAGGAAGGCATGGGGTCCCACAGTCAGAAAGTCATAGCAGGATTTTTATGAAAGAATATGAGTTTGCTCAGTTCTCAAGGCATGCCAGGAAGAGGGACCCTTATAATGTTTGGAGACTGACAAGTGGTTTATTGCTACTAGAGCTCTGCCTTGTTACCATGTCCAATTAGGGGTTATGTGTACATGAATCTAGAAGCTTTTTCCAGCACAGCATTATTTGAATTGTGCCTTCCCAGGAGGCTGGTATAATATGCTCCTGTGTTTGGGGGGCCATTCATGGGGTTGAGAGAGTATACGGGTAACCCTTACTCCTGGCCTGGAGTCTGTAAGGCAGGGTTGAGTTCATTGGTGTCAGTGAGGAAGTGAAGGAGACCCAACATGTGTTCAGAGCCCCCAACGCAGCCAGAAGCCAGAATTCTGGGACAGTGGGAGAGTGACCACTACCTGAATGGGTTGGTAATGCCAGATCATAGGCTACCCCAAATCCAGCTTCCATACTTACCATTCTGGGCTGAGCAATTTAGGTGGTTCAGTTCAGGTCCCTCTGAGGGCTGTGGTTGTCAGGCAGCTCAACTAAGGCTGGTGGTCTTAGGTGGCTGCATTTGGTGAGGATGGGGTGCAGGGTGGCCTTCTGCTGTATCATCTTGTGCTCTGCACAGGGACTCTTCAGTGGAGGACTTGGAGGAAGTGTTCACCTTGCCAGTGTACTTCTCATCTGATTGGCTGAATGAGTTCTGGGACACCTTGGACGTGGATGACTACCGCTTTGTCTATGCAGGGCCCAAGGGCACCTGGTAATGCCAAGCAGGGTCTATGGGCATCTAGTGAGGATGGGTGGGAACTATGGCTGTCCCCTGTGCTTGGAGACTTCTGGGGTGCCTGCTTACAGACCCATCAGAAGAACCAAGGCCCACTCTGGCCTACAAGGCACAAACCAGGAGCCCTTGTTACAGGTCGCCCTTCCATGCAGACATTTTCCGCTCCTTTAGCTGGTCAGTCAACATCTGTGGAAGGAAGAAGTGGTTGTTTTTCCCACCGGGGCAAGAGGAGGCCCTGCGGGACTGCCATGGCAACCTGCCATATGATGTGACTTCCTCCATGATACTGGATGCCCATCTGCACCCCAGACTCCAGCCCACCACCCCACCACTTGAGGTTATACAGGAGGCTGGCGAGATGGTATTCGTGCCCAGTGGGTGGCACCACCAAGTGCACAACCTGGTAAGAACAGGTACACACTGCTCTGCTCTCAGCATGCTCCTTCTCTCCTCCTCCATTTCCTTCACCTAATCCTGTCTACCTGTCTTTGCTGATAGAAGGCAGTGCTTGCCCCTTCTGATTGTTTGTCCCTCTGAACAGTCAGGGTGGGGTGGGGCAGCACAGGTGAGACTGAGAAGGTCACATCCCCTCACTCTACTCCCTGCCCACTTCCTGCCCAGGGCTTGTATGATCTGAGATGGTCTCAGCCTCCAGCCCTTAACCTCACTGTACTGGCAACCACCGGGAGGTAGGAGCAGCATTTTCCTGCCAGGATCGCAGAGGTGCTTAACCCGAAAGGGCTCAGGGCAGGAATGAACAAAACAAGACAAGACACATATTGAGAGGGCCAGCAGGCTGATGACCAACTGGCAAAGTTTTATTTTTTTCAGCCAGCTTTATACAAAAGAGGAAGAGACTTAAACATCAAAAATACTCGACCTAGTTACAATCTTTGTGTTTTCCACCCTGCATTCTTACTGCCAGTGTCCTTGACTAAGTATAAACTTCTTTTTAGTCAAGGGAAACCATTAGTGTTCCTTCCCACCGTGATAGAGGCATGATGCACCTGCAGGTTCTGACCTTGTCGAAATGCTGCTAAGCCACAATGACCTTGTCAGACTGTGGCTTTTGGTTCCCAACATTTTCCAGCTGCAGCAGTCTGAGCATCTAGCATGTTCCAGCTTCACTCACCCACAGCATTGGGTCTGGCATGGGAGTAGAGGAAGTGGGGTTTGCTCACCTAATGGGACAATGCCTGCTGTGAGCTTGGGGGCCAGCCTGTGCTGTGTCCTCTAGGATGATACCATCTCCATCAACCACAACTGGGTCAATGGCTTCAACCTAGCCAATATGTGGCACTTCCTGCAGCAGGAGCTTCAGGCTGTGCAACGAGAAGTGAGTGAGTGGAGAGACTCCATGCCTGACTGGCACCACCACTGCCAGGTAAGTAGCCTAAAAGGGGGGGAAGGAAGCCACCAACTACTTTTCTGAGTCATCCTGGGGACCAGGGCAGATACCAGGGCCAGGCTGCACGACTCAGGCACCTCTGGCCTTGATAACTGTTTCACGGGTCCCAGCCTTATTCCTTAAAGACAGCCTGTGTTGAGGTCCTTTGCAAACTGGGGCTAAGTGTGTGACTGTGACCCAAAAGCTCACTGGCCTGTCTTCTCTGGCCTAGGTCATCATGAAATCCTGCACGGGTATCAATTTTGAAGAATTTTATCACTTCCTCAAGATCATTGCTGAGAAGAGGTTCCTTATCCTGAAACAGGGGCTGGAGGAAGCTATGGGGGACAGCACAGGCCTGGAGCTGGGCCTCCAGCAAGCTGCATTTGATGTTGGCCGCCTTGCAGAGGTGCTGGCCTCTGTAGTTGCACACCCTGACTTCCAGATAGTAGACACCAGCTCATTCTCATCACAGCCAGAGGAACTGCTTAGGCAGCTAGAAGATGCCATAGCCACCACTGAGGTCTTTTAGCACCTGTGGGAGGTTGTAGCATTAGGAGGTACCAGTGGAAAATAACCTCTTGACCTAGTGGCCTCCCCTGTGGTAAGCCCCTGCTGAGCAGGCAGCACAGCTCCTCCTGGGCATCTGATGCAGTCCTGCCCATCATGACTGTTTCCCAGGTTTCAACTCTGGATTCCAGGAGAGATTTAGCCAGAATAGGAGCTCAACCCATTGAGGTTTTTGGGAATTGGGGGTGTCTTGTCATCTGGCCTGCAGAAAGCCTACCAGGGACTTGGTGGTGGTCATGTAACCTGGTTTCCCTAGTGAAGCCCAGGACTCCTGAGTGATAGGTATCTGATCTTCCTGCCTCAGGTCTTATGTGGCCGTCCCCTGGTCATATACACACATGCAGTAACCCTGTTCTCCTTGTCTTGCCTGGGTGTGGTGGGGGTGGGGGAGCAGGCTCTAGACTCCCACTGGGTAGGGTACAGCAGGTTGAAACTGGCTGCCTTGTTGAACTGGGCACTTGTTATTTACTTGTAAACAAGAAACACAAGTACCTGCCTAACCAGGTCCCCAGAATGGAGGAGATGGTGCAGAGGGAGACCTTTCCTTCCCCACAGCACCCCTGTGCAGTCTGTGTTCCTGTGCATACCATGCCTTGCCCAGCCCACAGGCTGCATTGGTGGAGACAGGGCCAAACAGCTAGAGTTAAGGGAACAGACCATCAGTGGCCACCTCTCCCCATCCAGAAAGTTGACATATTTATCATTTTCCTGGCTCGAGGCAGGTCAGTGCCTGCTTTGTTGGCTGTGTTCATTGTATTTAGCAGGTGCTCTTGAGTCTAAGGTGGGGACAGGCAAGTTATCTCCTGTCTGGCCCACACAGGGCCCTGTGGCACCCTGTACATCTGATGCCTGTGTGCCACCCTGTTTACTTTTTTTTGTTGGTCTCTTCCTCCTGCTGCTGTTCTCAGGAGTGATAGATAAGACAGCTGAGGGCAGAGAAGTGAGACCTGAATGAGAGCCAGCTGCTCGCTCAGGGGCCTGGCTTGGGCTACTGGATTGAGGCACAGGTGGACATACAGGGCTTGGTAAGGTGGATTCTCCTAGGGCTGCTCTTGAGTCCCAGATCTTCTCAGGACACCTACAACACCATCCATAGCTCTGCTAGTCCTCAGCCCCCATTGAGAGTTTCAGATGGAGTCAGTGGTCTGCCTAATGCCTCTAGACCCAAAGCTCCTTCAGATTCTCAGGTAGTCTCATCAGAATAGGGCAGGATATACCTGCTTACAGGAAGGTAGCACATCTTACACATCCTGGATATGGCCTGGAATTATGTCCAGTGGAACTGGCTGACCCCAGTTAGTGGAAGCCCAGGAGGGCAAAGAGTCATTCTGTCCAGTAAATTATGTTAAGTGCCTAGAAAGGTGAGTACAAAGCGGTACCTCAGATTTGCCGAATGAGCCTCAACCAGTACCTTCCTGGCTACCAGAGGGCCTGGGCCCCCCTGCCAGCCCTGGAGTCCAAGGATAGGGCTCCCAGTTGTAGTCCTAGATGTTTTGGCAGATGGGAAGGAGCTTTGTCCTAACCTACAGCCCCTGTGGGGCTTCATAGAGAGAGGGAAATCATAAGGTCACAGCCCGTCCAGTGCTCCTACTGCAGGGCCTGGTGCTAGGGAAGCATTCTTTCATCACCATGGTAACTGGGTATGGTCATCCTGGGGACATGCTCAGAGACACCTGAGGATTGGTGTGCTGTGCAACGTCCCCAGGACAATCGGTGGTACTCTGTAATAGAACTGCAGGTTTCACACAGGTTGAAGGGTGGCCAGGCTATGTAGATGCATAAGAAGATGAGCACAAGGGTCCCCACCTGCTTGACTAATGAGGAAAGGTGTCATTTCCACTGGGGTGGGGAAATAACTTAAAATATTAGCACTTTCATGTCATTTGCTTGCTAAATAATGATAGTACATACTGTTTTCACAGCCTATACCAAGAGCATTGTGCCAGTGAGTCCTCACAAGACATCTCCGGGTTGATAAAGGTCATTGAGGTCAGAATGCAGAACTGTCCCATGTGGTCCTTACCTTGGCACCTGACCTGCTTTGCTCCCCATCTGACTTAGTGGACAACCCCACTTACCTCCTTGACCTCAAATTAGCTAAGACTGCATGTCCTGCATGTGATGCAGGACAGCAGCCACTGCATACTGTGCATGTAGATCACAGTTGAAGATAAAGAGTCAAATCATTTGCCCATCCCTAATATACTAATAAAGCAAGCCAGGAGGTTAGGAAGTATGAGGCCCCAAGCACAATTCTCTTATGGTAACTATCACATATTGCCAAAACCATAGCTTTCACCAATGCCACCACAGTTTCACATGAGAAATAGTTCCGTAAGGACCTCTGCCCAGCAAACAGCTGTTCAGGCTTGGACCTTGGACTGACATCATACTTGTTGAAAATCCTTGTAGCCAAGAATTACTGTTTCAGAATATTTTATGTAATTTTTATTTTACCTTTGAAAACTTCCTGTTGCCTTAACCACCCTTACTTTACTATGACACACGTGTTCCCATTTGGTACCCTGCTGTTCTCAAGAAAATATTCTTTGGAGGATTTTTGATCCATCATTAAAAAAGAAAGGAATTGCATCCTGGTCAAAGAGCCAGGATTTCAACATAGTAAAAGACTTCCTCCTGTATTTCAGTGCCACTGGGTCCAATCACAGATCCTGACCTGGAAAGGTCAAGGTGTTCCACAGGTAGTAAATCACAGAGACATGTGGATGAGCCTCCACCAGTCTCTGATGAAAATCTTAGTGTAATGAGAAGGTGTGGAAAGAGTCAGGTCCACACCTATTCAGGACACCTGAGGTGGAATGCAAGAACACTCCACCTAATGTGAAGACAGTATAGTCATTACTCTCTTATCCATGGTGTCAGTCTCCTGTGGTCCAAAAAATGAGGCAGATATTTGGAGAAAGATCACATTCACATAACTTTTATTACAGTATATTGTTAAAATTGATCTATTTTATTACCAGTTGTACATCTCTGCCTTATTTATAAATTAAACTCCTGGTATGTACATATATATATATATATAGGAATACACACATATGTATATATATGCATGCATAAATTTGGTACTGACCATTTAAAGCATCCAGTGTGTGTAGAGGGATGTCTTAGAGCATCTCTCTCGTGGAAACAGTGCCTACTTTGTAGACTAATATTCCCACAAATATGGGAAAAGTGGGCACCTGGCCAAGGCTGGGTGGTCATACTGAGTTGTAGGTGCGTGTTAAAGATCCTCACAGCACTGAAAAATCTTTACAAAGAGCCAGTTAGACTCTCCTTTTCCTGGAGCCACAGAAAGTGTTCATCTCATGGTGATAGCTACTAAGGACTTTACCCCACCATGCCCAAGTGCAGTCACTACTCATTTAAGCCCAGTCTGGACACATGCAGACTAGGTGGAAAACCCATTGTCCAACTGACCTACCTACAGTGTCCTGCATGTCCAGGACGCAGGCCTCCAGGGGAGGCCTCCCCCCAAAGTGGAGTATGCCTTTTTCCCTTGGAGCACAACCTTTTAACTAATCTAGGAACCAATAGTGTAGAACAGTACATATACAATGTATCTTTCTTCTGTAACATAGAAATTCTAGTAAGAAAAGAAGTGAGGCAGAGAAAAGCTGTAATGGGTTGGGAAAATGACTGCAGATGGTGACTCAACTATCAATCACATGAAGAGAACCACATATGATAAGAGCTAATATAACAAAATCTCCATACCCTTGCTTGCCACTCATGTTCCTCAAAAGACATAAAGTTATATAATGTAATAATTAAAATAATTAAGTGCATATAAGGATAAAACCTTAAAATGGTACATAGAAGACTTAAGAGTTGTATCTGGATATAAAGGTATATATAAAAGGTTGATGGAGTGGCTCAAGTGGTAAAGCGCCTGTCTAGGAGGGTGTAGTGTTACACATGGGGTAATATAGAAATCTAAATGGATTGTTAGTATGAATGTGTAGCTGATTCTGATTAGATGTACACTAAGGCAGCACATGGTAAATGGTTTGAAAAAATTGAACAAATCAAATGCTAACATTAGAAAGTTCTGCAAAATAAAGCAGTAAAGAAAATAGAGGAATGAGAAAGACATGGGGAAAAATAGACAAGAGCGTAAAATGACAGACAATCCAGCTATATAAAAAATACCATTAAATGTGAGTTGCTTGAATAATCCAACTGAAAGGTAAGTATTTCAGACTAATGAAAAACCAGATCCATAGAAGTCACTCTTTAGATTCAAAGATAAGAATAGATTGAGGGCTGGCTGGAGATGTGCATGCCAGTTTGGTCCCTGGCAGCACAAAAACCAGATACAAATAGATTAAAAGGATATAAATAGACAGTTGGTCTTCCAGTGAGTTCTACATCTGTGAACTCAACCAACCATGGGCTGCAAATATTCAAGAAGTAATTCTAGAAAGTTTAAAAACTAATTTGAATTTGCCATGTGAAGAGTACTATGCTGAAGCCATACAAATAAACTGATATGTACATTGTATTGAGTGTTAAAAGTAATGTAGAGATAATTTAAAGTGTATAGTAAGATATGCAGAGATTATATGCTGATACTATGCCATTTTATATAAGGGACTAGAGCATCCATGGATATTGGTATTCATGGTGAGTCTTGGAGGCAGTCTCCCATGGATATTGAGGAATGACTGTATCATGCAAGTGAGAGAGCTATACTAAAATACATAACAAAACATTTAAAAACCCAAAAAGTTAGTCAAGCTAATAATGACAGACATTTTATAATAAAAAAGGGTCAGTGCATCAGTAAGCAAGAACCAGTACAAATACACATGCACCTAATATCACCAAAATATGTAAAGACAACACTGGTAGAAACTAAGGTAGAAATAGAAAAGTCAGCAATAATGCTGGGACTTCAGTAAGTTCTATAATTCTATGATAGAAAAGTTCTATAAAAAAAAAACAGAACAAGGAATAGAATACACACACCTTCATAGTTCCACTAGGTTTGAACAACAGAAAAAAGATTTCAGGAGAGGGCATAAGAGAATGATGGAGGGGTGAATCTAAGATATTGTAAGAATATATGTAAATCTCACAATGTACCCCTGTACAACTATTACATGATAATAAGAATTTAAGATGGTACATGTTTTTTTTTTTAAAAGTCTCACCTAACAGAATATACACTTTTCTCAATGGCGCATGAGCATTCTCCAGGATAGCCTGTACACTGAGTCATTAAACAACCATGACACATGTAAAAGAGTAGAATAATATGCTCTACAATGTGGTAGGCTTGAAATTTCTGGGGGTTTTTTGTTTGTTTAGATGAAGGCCTCATTATGGCCTAAACTGGTTGCAACCTGTGGGCTTAAGGAATCTTCCCACCTCAGCATCCCAAGTAGCTGGGACTATATGCAAGTGTCACCATGTCTAGCTAACCCTGGAATTCAATTAAATCTGGGAAATTCAAATATGTAAAAATAACAGGGCACAAAATTATGAAACATTAAATAAAAAGGACAGTAGAGGTCTGATACAGTGACTTGCACCTGTACTCCTAGCTACTTGGGAGGTGGAGATCAGAAGGATCATGGTTCAAAGTGAGCCTGGGGGAAAAGTTCATGAGACCCCACCTCTACAAACAAGGTGGACAGTGGTGCACGCCTGTCATCCCAGCTTTGTGAAGAAAAAAATAAAGAGTATCACAGTTCAGGCTACACAGGGCATAAGTGAGATCCTACCTCAAAAATAACCAAAAAGGGTTTGGGGGGAAAGGGGTGGCTCAAGTGGTAGAGCACCTGCCTAGCAAGTGCAAGGCCCTGAGTTCAAGCTTCAGAACCACAGACACACAAAGACATTAGAAAACACACATGAGATTATTGAAAATGGAAACACAATATACAAACTTGAGAGCTAAAGCAGAGCCTAGAGAGAAAATTATTAAGTGGAAATATCTAAAGAGAGAAGAATGTTCTCAAATCCATAACCTAAGATTCCATGTGAGGACACTGAAAACAGAAGAGCAAACAATCTAAGCAATAAGAAGGAAGTAACTTATAGTAGAAGTTGGTTATACACAGAAGAAAGAGACAATTGTTTTAAATGATCAACAATACTGACCAATAAAGAAAAAGGACTGAGCATTAGAAATTAAAGAGGGCACATTACCATCACCTTATGAAAATAAAAGAATACTTAGTATGTAACAATGGTATGTAACATACTAGATAATTTAGTACCATCACCTTATGAAAATAAAAGAATACTTAGTATGTAACAATGGTATGTAACATACTAGATAATTTAGTCTAATTCCTAATCAAATTCCTAAAACACATAAAGTACCAAAATGGACTAAGAAAATAGTATGACTATAACAAGTGAAGAAAAAGCTCATATGGGGAAACTTAAAATATTTTTATTGGAGTGCATTGTACAAAATTATTTCATTCCAATATATATATATATATATATATATATATACATACAATGTACTTTGATAAAACTCCCCTTTGCTGGGTGGTGGTGGCTTACGCCTATAATTCTAGTTACCCTGGAGGTTGAGATTTGTAGAATTGTAGTTTGAGGCCAGTCCAGGCAAAATAGTTCTTGAGACTTCATCTCCAACATAACCAGAGCAAAGCAAACTGGAGGTGTGGCTCAAGCGGTACAGTACCTGCTTTGTAAACTCAAATCCCTGAGTTCAAACCCACCAAAAAAATTTTCAGCCCTTCTGTTACTCTTTGTTACTCCTACATTAAGGTCTCTGATCCATTTTGAACTGATTTTTTGCTCAGGGTGAGAGATGGGGGTTCCAGTACCATTTGTTGAAGAGGCTGTCTTTTTCTCCAATGTATATTTTTGTCTCCTTTGTTGAAAATCAGATGGCTGTATCTGTATAAGCTTATTTCTAGGTCTTCTATTCCATTGACTACATGTCTGTTTTTATGCCAGCACCATGCTGTATTTATTACTATGCCTCTGTACTATAGTTCAGAGTCTGGGATTGTACTATATTCAGTATTTCTCTTATTACTCAGGATTGCTTTGCTATTAGGGGTATTTTATGTTTCCATATGGCTTTTAAGATTGATTTTTCTGTCTCAAAGGGATTTTGATGGGGATTGCATTGAACCTGTTGATTGCTTTTGGTAGCATACCCATTTTCAAAATATTAATTTGATAAACTTGAGGTCTTTCAATCTTCCAGTCCCTTCAGTTTCTTTCAGTATTTTACAGTTTTCATTATAGAAGTCTTTCACATCCTTAGTTAAGGTATTTTAATTTTTTGAAGCTATTCTGAATGAGGTTGTCCTGATTTCTTTCTCAGCCTGCTCATTATTGATATATAGAAAAGCTACTGATTTTTTGTATGTTGATTTTTTATGGTGCTACTTGGATAAAAGTTTTGACTTAATTTAAGAGTTTTTGGTGGATTTTTTAGGGTCTTTTAGATGATATTTTCATATCACCTTCAAATAAGGATAATTTGACTTCTTCCTTTCCATTTTATTTCATTATCTTGCCTTACCTCTCTGGCTAGGAATTTAAGCACTATATTGAATAAGAGTGAAGAATGTGGCTAGCCTGGTCTGATACTTGACTTTACAGAAAATGGTTTCAGGATTTCTCCATTTAGTATGATAACAGCTATAGGTTTGTCATTTATAGTCTTTATTATGTTGAGGTATTAGAAATAAAACCCCAAAAGACTACTGGGGTTACAATTGAAGACACAGAAATGGAGAATTTTCTTCGCAAGGCAAAATTTACTTCTGCAGAGGGTGCACAAGCACACTGGTGTTAGAATTAAAGACCCTCTGGTGCTGAAAACAGACACACAAGAGACAGAGAAAATCTTGACAAGGCAATTTCTTTTGACCAGAAGGGTGCAAGCATATGCTCACTCCCACTAAGCAAACATGCAAGCACAAAATGGCTGACAGTGGCTTCTCCTTGTATCCCTGACGCAGTTGTACCTGCCCCTAACCTGGGATTTGCCCAGGTCAAAGGTTCACAATCTTTCCCAGTTGGCTAAAAGGCTTGGGGGATGGGTTGGGGCATACAGTTTGGCAGGCAATGGAGTCATACAGGAATCCAGAAGAAGCAAGGACCCTTCAAACATGCAAGTCACTAAGAAGGAAGTTAAGATTGAGGTCATCCAGCCCTTCCATCTTCCAAACCATTTTTCCATTAAGTCAGTGAAGGGATCATTTATACTTGAGTTTTCAGCTAGCTCGTTAGATAGTTAATCTTAGTAATATTTTATCATTCCATCCAAGCATTTGGATCCCCGTACCTGATTTCAATAGCCATAGTTTGTCTTAGGTCCTTGACTTCTACTACGGTTACCTGAGTTTGACTCTTGTATAAACGTGGAGATAACATTGGAGCAGAAGTAGAACTGTGTGTCCCCTGAGAGGGTTTGGGAGCTAGACGGAGCTCAAGACACCTTAAAGGATCTGTTCCTGAGACATCCACCCCCAACCCATATTTACTAAAATGTGGGTGGTTCTTTTGTCGTACTCCAAGAGCTTTCTATGACCAATCTAAGTGGGTCACACTTTATCTTTGCAAGAAGGGAGGGATGTGTCCAAAACAGTTGTAATTTTGACTGTAGTTTGTTAAAAGACTGTTGATTATTTTGTATGGTGGAAATTAGAGTCTTTCTAGTACCCTGGAGTCTAGTCCAGCCCTTAGGAATTTCATAAAAGGGGGAAATGTTTCCTTTATATCCAGTGTTCCACCCCCACATCCATCCAGTCTGGACAGATATCAGGCTTCCCTGTGGGTCCTGAGACGGGAAACATATAAAGGGAGTATCCTTGGAGTGAAAGTTGGGATGTAAGGTCTCTGCAAGTAAGGACCTGACATGCATAAAATTTAACAGTTAAGGGAAAAGTACTCTGAGTTATACTAATAATAAGCATACCATTTCCCAAATGCAAGAGAAAGAATATTTTTACTATAGTCTTTTTAAAGTCACTTTGGTATTGTGTGGATGTGAGAGCACAGCCCATTGTTCTTCTGGTCGGGTGGGGGCGCCTTCTTTACCCGTGTGTGATGAGTCCATCCCCACTCTGCAGTCTGGACAGCTATCTGTGGTCAGCTGGACCAGGAAGGGTCCTTCCCAAGCTGACTCAAGCTTATTTTCTTTCCAGGTCTTGATCAGCACATAATTGCCAGGCTGGTGTGGGTGAACAGGAAAGTCAAGTGGAGGAGCCTGTGCCCCTTTTTCCTAAGAGAAAGTAAGGTAGAGGACAATCCTGAGTATATAACTTTTGAGGAAATAGTCTGGTTTCAAAGGTAGGCACATCAGTAACACAGCTAAGGTAAGGAAGACCATAAAGCACTTCATAAGTGGAGAGGCCAATGTCCTTCGGAGGGGCTGTCCTTATCCTGAGTAGTGCTATGGGAAGGCATTTAATCCAAGGTAATCTGGTCTCTAAAACTAATTTAGTGGGCTGATTTTAAGGGTCTGATTTAGAGCAAACAATTCACAAGTCTGTGCTGATCAATTGTTAGGGAGTAAGCCTGGTTCTACTATAGTCAAGGCCTGCCCATTATGTCTTTTTCCCTCAATTACCCAAGAGTATCCACCCACAAAGAAATGGAACCCAGTCTGGAAAGGAGTTTCCTTGAGGTCTGGCCTTACTTTCATTTGGTATTCAGTAATATCTAAACATTTATGTTCAGGGCTCCTCCTTCCTGCTTCCCCTTTCAAGGAAGTGGCTGGATTTAGGGCCTCATCAGTAGTTAAAGTTAGGTCATCCTTTTCTAGCAAGATAGCCTCATACTTTAGGATCCTAGAATCCATCAGCCATCTGCCACCTTCTGGTTTAAGATTGTCCTAACTTGATGGGGAGTGCTAATAATTAGGTTTCCCCCAAACCTACTACTTTCTACTTTCTTCAGTTAGAAGGGCTGTAGCTGCTACTGCCTGAATGTACTCAAGCAAACCTCAGGTGACAGGATCCAGGAATTTAGATAAGAAGGCCACATGTTGATGTTGACCCTCATGTT